TGGGAAGATTCACTTCTTTATTTGTACTATTGTTACCAAGAAAGAAAGTGTCCTTAGAACAATAGGTGAGGAAAAATCTTCCAATAGGGACGCCTGTTTCGGGGACAACTTGGACAACTCAAAATTTGTATTGCCTTTCTGTGACAGAACATGAAGGAAATGTCCCCAATGGTCCCCAAGTGACGAGGGGGCATAGAGCCGGCTTCCCGACCAATCAGGAAGCCAGGGGGGTGAGTCATTACATGCCGCCTGATTTATGATACTGGAACTTCCGTTATCAGGATAGGCATTGGGAGCATTTGGGCGGTTATGAGTACCAAATGTGAGCATTTGGGTGAGTATCTGCACCGATACTGATACTAGTATCGGCATTGGTGCATCCCTATTGTGAATATGCTACTCCAAAGAGCACTCAAAATTGGTTTGTACATTTTTGTAGAAGTTAAAAGATTGAAAACTTCCGCAGTAACATGAATATGTTAAATCTTATATTTTACATTTTAGTCATTAGATTTAGATCTACTTGTTTGCATTGTTACCTCTTCTGTGCTAGGATCCCTTAAGCTAACTTTTCTGCAACAAAAGATACAAGTGTGAAAGTGCTATCATTGGAATCTACTGCTTCAAGAAACATCTATCAAATCAGTGTAATTTTAAACATTTACTCAAGGACTAAACTGCTTAGCTATTTAAATGTTTACAATCTCCTCCAGCATATTTTTCACAATTGTGTATCAAGGATTAGTTTTCAATAACCGAGTTTGAGTTGTTTTGCACAGAATAGTCATTTCCATACACAACATTGAAGTAGTTGGGGATATTATGTATATTCTATCAGGTTTTTAGCATATGTGCACACATTCTCCTCAATGAAACATCTGCTCCATTGTAAAGCACACACATTCTTCCTTAGATGCAAAGCAAATCTTCAGGAGACTTTTTGTATAGCATAGCTTAGTGAGGCTCAGTGCTGGCTTGAACTCTTTTACTTACAAATGACTCCAGATTAGGAAGGCATAATCATAGGGATGTATTCAATCATTTTGACTAAGATAGAAATATGTGCACATAAATAAATTATTTTCTGCATTTCTAGTGCGTAAGTAATTTAAGTGTGTAACATACATATGTAGACATGTCAGATATTATTTTACAGATATAGAGAATACTTTAAATTATGTTTTTGGTTAATGTACCACTGGTCAGTTATAGGTATGCACCACAGTGGAATGCTCATGTACTATTGCTACTGAATGTTATGCCTGTAGTATGTTTATCTATCCTGCAATCAAACACCAGTCTGTAGCCACTGGAGAGTGTAGAGAAGTAGGGGAGGGAATGGTACATGTGATCTCTTATCACTTGTCTCTGTGATGAAGTCAGAAAGACTTCTCCAGTTATACGAGGATGAAGCCACACAGGCTGTGTTTTAGCCTGAGCGTTTAGCATTGGTGATACAAATAGTTTTTTCATGGATGTTTAATGTGCTAACATTTTAGGCATCTTTTAGAAACCTGACTTTTATCTATTCTATTGATTTTTTTTACCCCTGCCATAAACAACATACACAACCTCCAATATATGAGAGTCGATGGAAGGGCAGACAGCCTCTGGTCTTAAAGATTCTACACTGCACTTTTTACTGCTGCCTGCCCTTCCCCCCTGCTTTGTTGCAGGGCAGATATCATATACATATTTACACAATTTCTTAAAAATTACTATATTTTTATTTAAATTACATTTTACAATTGTTTTTCCATGTAAGCCTCTGCCCTGGCCAAACAAACACAGGCAGGGACAGCAATGCAAACTGGAAACTCCTTTAAGCAAAGATAAAGCCCAACCGCTATCACTATTGTTTTATAATTGTTTGGAGGGTTACTCTATACTAGCCTGCCTTGCTGCATGTGTCATATGAGAGAGGGCCTTCATTGCAGTGGGGTGATTTGTGACTGAAAATCATTTTTAATCAAATCAGACCTGGATCACAGGGGACTTCCAAACACATTACTAATGAAATCAATATATTTACTTCATATACAATTAACTAAGAAAAGACCAAACACTTTATGGGTATATGGGGATATAGCAGGGGGTTCAAGTACTCCTGGGGTGAGTGTGTGTAGTGTTTTGGGTGCACAGTGTTTTTACTCCCCCCCCCCCAAAGAATGGAGTGAGGGGTTGCAAACAAAAGGCAGCTCTGGAACAGACTGCTAGCAACAACTGTTCTCTTTAATTTCCTAGCCTACACTAAAAATTGGCATGTATGGAACCTGATTGTTTGCAATGCAGTGTTTACCAATACAGTCTTGTTTCAGCCTTACTTTATATATATTTAAAGTACATACAAGTGTCCTCAGATCCCACAAGGGTTCTACACAATGCCTATTTCAGAAAAACAAAGTTACACCATGATGGAATGTTGATTTAGAGCTTTCCCACAGACCAAGAAATAGGAAATGTGTGGCTGGATGGTACAGTTGTAGCTATCAGTTGCTGAGGGCTTATTCAGGAAATGAGGCAGGACAAGTAACATCAATGAACATAAAAAGATAACGGCATGACATAAAATGTTATAAAGTCATGGCATAATGTGCAGTGAAGTAATCACACTAAACTGCAGCAATTACAGGGTCTTTATTGTGTACAAAAACAAAGCAAAGTGTAGTGACCATAGTAACCAAACAGAAAGTACATTTCTCACATTTGATGTCAGTGTAGATCCACATACACAGTTCCTAGTATGGATGCTATTGATATAAACTATATTGCCAAAAGTATTGGGACACCCTCCAAATCATAGGATTCAGGTGTTCCAATCACCTCCATGGCCACCGGTGTATAAAATCAAGCACCTAGGCATGCAGACGCTTCTACAAATATTTGTGAAAGAATGGGTCGCTCTCAGGAGCTCAGTGACTTCGAGCGTGGTACCGTGATAGGTGATAGGTTGCGACCTGTGCAATAAGTCCATCCGTGAAATTTCCTTGCTACTTAATATTCCACGGTCAACTATTAGTGGTATTATAACAAAGTGGAAGCAACTGGGAACAACAGCAACTCAACCACAAAGTGGAAGGCTATGTAAAATGACAGAGCAGGGTCAGCGCATGCTGAAGCGCACAGTGCGCAGAGGTCGCCAACTGTCTGCAGAGTCAATAGCTACAGGCCTCCGAACTTTGTGTGGCCTTCAGATTGGCACAACAACAGTGCGCAGAGAGCTTCATGGAATGGGTTTCCATGGCCAAGCAGCTGCACCCAAGCCTTACATCACCAAGTGCAATGCAAAGCGTCGGATGCAGGGTTGACGAATCACGCTTCTCTGTCTGGCAATCCGTTGGAGGTGTCTGAGTTTGGCGGTTGCCAGGAGAATGGTACTTGTCTGACTGCATTGTGCCAAGTGTAAAGTTTGGTGAAGGGGGGATTATGGTGTGGGGTTGTTCTTCAGAGGTTGGGCTTGGCCCCTTAATTCCAGTGTAGGGAACACTTAAGGTATCAGCAAACCAAGACATTTGTTGGACAATTTCATGCTCCCAACTTTGTGGGAACAGTTTGGGGATGGCCTCATACTGTTTCAACATAACTGCGCACCAGTGCACAAAGCAAGGTCCATAAAGACATGGATGAGCGAGTTTGGGGTGGAAAAACTTGACTGGCCTGGACTGAGTCATGACCTCAACCCGACAGAACACCTTTGGGATGAATTAGAGCAGAGCCTGCGAGCTAGGCCTTCTTGTCCAACATCAGTACCTAACCTCACAAATGCGCATCTGGAAGAATGGTCAAACATTCCCATAGACACATTCCTAAACCTTGTGGACAGCCTTCCCATGAGAGTTGAAGCTGTTATAGCGGCAAAGGGTGGGCCAACTCAATATTGAACCCTACGGACTAAGACTGGGATGCCATTAAAGTTCATGTGCATGTAAAGGCAGGCGTCCCAATGCTTTTGGAAATATAGTGTATATATGATTGTGATGATCTTAGAGGTGATGGTGTTATGGCCTTGGGGATTGTTTTTATATTTTCTCGGTGGAGGATTTTTGTTTTCATTGTTGCATGCATGAATTAAATCATTAAATACAATTGCTTGATTATCATACTTTGTCTAATCAACCATCTTGTTCTTATTTTCTTAAGCAGTTCTTATTTTCTTATATAAATCATGCGTTTATAGGAAACCTATACTAAGAATGTATGGAGGCTGCTATTACTGGCCTTTCCTTCCGAAAAATCTACTTGCATGGCTGTCAGGCTGATCTGTTGGTTTCAGTATCTTCTGTGGCACTTGCCCAAAAACAAGTACAGTATGCAGATCAGTTTTGACTTCACTCTTACTTTACTGATCTTCATGCTTTTTCCAGGTCAGTGACTGTTGGGTGAGGATGACACCAAGGCAATTAAGGGGCATCCAATTCACTATCCTAGAGATTACTTCAGCTGTCTATAATCTGATTGGCTGCAACTTTGCACTTATTATTAAGTAAGCCCAGTACCAATAATATTACTTCTTATCTTATATAATCAACCAGCATAAGACTGGCTATATATATGAATAGGTATAAAACATTTTGCCTAGGTACAACATCTCTTTCTTAAAAAAACATAGATCATGATGTCTTAATTATTCCAGCAGTTGCCAACAATTCAGAAATTTCATAAGTAAGAGCTGAGATCATTACTACAAGGTTCTCGTTGCTTTTCTTGGGTTTATTTTGTGCAACAGTGCTGAAATCAGCAATGTTGTACAAAGTGTAATGACCCATAACAACCATATCACTATGTAAAGAGCTGTGTAAATTGTCGGTGCTATCTGAATACCTGTAATAAATAAATAAATAGCATCCCATATTTAACCTACCGCAGTGTAATAAATTCTGATTGTCTATTTGACACCCAGAGATGATTTTTAACACGGGGATGTCTTTGCCTTATCAAGTAAGCTCACTAATGTTATTTAATTGTATTTGCTTTCTCAAACTGTTTATTTTCCCTTACAGAGTTCGAGACCGTGTAGAAGGTTCAAAGAATCCAGCTATTCTGAAATAAAAGGTCACGTTGAAGGAGATTTGGTGGATGGGATCTGTATCTTGTCAAACAATCACGATATTGAGGCTGGTGAACTCTAAAGGTTATAAACATGACCCACTTACAATCCGGACTCAGTCAAGAGACGGTAGAAAAAGCCAGATTGGAATTAAATGAGAATCCAGACACTTTACATCAGGATATCCAACAGGTTAGAGACATGATAATCACTAGACCAGATATTGGTTTCCTACGGACAGATGATGCTTTCATCTTAAGGTTTCTAAGAGCTAGGAAGTTCAACCAGATGGAAGCTTTCCGACTTCTCGCCCAATATTTCCAGTATCGTCAACTTAATTTGGACATGTTCAAAAACCTTAAAGCAGATGATCCAGGGATCAAAAGAGCTCTTATGGATGGCTTTCCAGGTGTACTTGACACCCGTGACCATTATGGACGGAAGATTCTTCTACTTTTTGCAGCCAACTGGGACCAGAGTAGGTAAATGTAGATAGTGTTTTAATATTTTCTTCTAATTTATGTTAAAGTGCAAATGGTAATTGCTGAAGTAAACTCAGTAGGAATAGTGGACATAATATACCTAATATACAAATTAACTTTAAATCAAAACCAGCTGGTAATACTTTACCAGTGTCTGCTTTCACCATTTGGGCCTGTGGCCTGTAAAATTAATTTCTTCACATTAACAAAGTGTGCTACCTTTAGCAGCCCTCAAGTCAAATAGAAAACAGTTCATATTCACATATGGGGACTGTTTCACCTATTACAGAATTTGTCATTCTGTTAAGCTGGTCTCCTGATCTGGCTAACCCCGTAAGTGAGCACAGACAGATCAAGGTTTCCTTGAGACCCCCCTGCAAGCTACACGGCAGCTGAGCAAAACAGTCTGACATGGGGCCTGCCACAGTCTTTGGACAACAAAGGAACAGAAGCACACTGATGATATCATCACTCTGTTCTTGTCCCTTCCTAGGATGTTCTTAGTATTAGATGTCAGCATTGTGCAATGAATAGAGCTGCCTCTCTCACTTCTAGATGGAGTGCTACTATGCAGGAGATTACAGCAGAGTAGTCAGATTTGAGTACTTGTATGTACAATGCATTTATTGGTTCTCAATACCTGTTGCTTAGCTTCAATTAGACATTCAGTGTATAGTCAGCTCGGTATGTTTGCTAAGTGGGTTTACTTATCAATAATTAATCTTTGAATGTTGATGTACAGTGACTCACCTAGGTTAGCAAACTTTTAAACAAAAAAATTGGGAGGAATGTCCTCTAATGCAGCGCTGCCCCTGGGGTGAGGGCAAAGAAATATCGGTTGCAGTACTTGGTGTGCGGCTCCTAAAATTGCGGACCGGGGTGTCCAACATTTTACTGATAGAAAAGAAAAAAAGTACAGATTCCACCAGCAACCCTGGACTCCCAATTTATCCACACTTCGTCGCTGATAACGCGCTAGTACCTACACCCTGGTAAGTCTTTTTTCCATTATTCCTTTACCTTTCCTTGCTCAGTCACCACTTGGTAGTGCGCTTCTTTAGCAAACTTTTACTTACTCCAGGTTTTACTAAATCTGAATTACTCCTGTGACAGCTGCATTCCTAGAAAGCATGTTACATGTTCCATTCATTGATTGCTCACTCGGTACCTAAGTCTCACACAGTATGCTGGACCGCAGTGCCCTTCATCCCTTCCTGTTTGGCAGATACACTGCTTGTTTAATGTGCAATATCCATTAAATGTATCAGCAGCAAAGGGACAATTGGTACCTGCAAGCCTCTAGCATAGCATTAAACATCAATAGCATTAAGTATTGGACCTAGCCAGATCACTAAAGTGAGAAGTGTGCTGCAGAACCCAGTGTGTAAATTGCCCCTTCAAGTAGCTCTATTGGGGTCAGTGTCTACGGACGTTTGTTCATTTTCTCCACATTCAAGTCTATTGGAAAGCAAAAGCAGCTTAAGCAGGTCAAATGCACCTACAATAATTTTCCATGAACTTATTCTACACTTCACATATTCAAATAAATGTGATAGTTTCCTTTCCTTTAAGACGCCAGTGCTGTCACTCACACACCACAACAAAGCATGTGCTCATCAATCCATGACATGGACATTATTCATTCTAGAATATTTTAGCTTCATAGATAAAAACATCTAAAAGAAACATCAGCAAGCATGCTTCAAATTCTCTCTTGTCACATATTTGTTATCTCCTCGCTGCAGCAGATTATCAGCAAAGATAAAGATCAGTTTAATCTTTAACAAAAATACCATCATATGCTGTATTATGGCCGGCTTTAGGCTACATTACAACCTCTGCATTTATTGTGCTGGTGGCTGCATCTTTTCTTTCCAGCAAACCGCACACATTCTATACAGATGTTTGGGAATGTAAAAAAACACCTAAAATGCGCCATGCACTGTATTTAAAATGGACAGCTTGAAAATGCAGAGGTGTGAATGTAGCCTCAGGAGTAGCGATTATGCAGGCAAAATAGTATCCCCCACCCTCTGAATTTCATCAGCTCAGCATAGATTTTATTTGAGAATTGCTTTTCCCTATTACACAAGAGCAGACAGAGACATTAAATCATCCTTTCTTGAAGCTGATTGCTCACCAAAACACAATTGTGTGGTAGGAGGAGGTCAGTCACCATTTGTTCCTATGCTGAGCTGCTGCTGATTGGGTTGGGGGTTGCAACTGACATTACTGTCTTACCAAGCAAAGTTCAGCTTATCAAGGCGCCTTTGTGGCCTTATCCTAAGTCTGTAATAACAAAAGGATTAGCCTTAGCCCATGTGTTATCATCTGGTTTTGAATCATTTAATGTAATAGTATAAACTTTATTCAGCTGTAGCTTTTATATTATGAGAATTGGTAATTCTGATAATGCCTGCTGGTTTATGTCTTATACTTTTTTAGATGCATGAAACCTGCAAGCTTTTCATTCTGATGTTTTTAGCTAATTATTATGAGGTCCTTTAGTGGTTATTTCTTTGCTTTAATGTGCCTTCTTGCGTGGGATGGTTGCTAGCAAACAGCATGGCTTATGTTGTTATTATTTTTGTTGGATTTGACTAGATATGTTTTTTTTAAAATGTGATCTTGGAAAGACTGGATACTATTTGAAGCGTATAAAAATGTGTCAAAAGTCCAGTTTGCCTTGTGTGCGGTGGCGTATCTACAGCAAGGCAAACAAGGCGTTTGCCTTGAACGGCATCTTCCAGGGGGACAGCAAAAGGAACGCCTAACCGCCTCACTGGTTTCTCCAGACTGCTTTCCAGCTAAGGAGAAGAAAGTGGCCGGGGACAGCCTCCTGCTGGCAGTCATTGGGCAGCAGAGCCGTGAAAATTGGCAGCTGGAGACCCTTGCAAGAATACCCAGAGGAGGGAGAGACTGAGCCCAGCTGGACTAGTAGGGAGCTGCCATCCTAGTGCTAACTGTGAGGGGCTGGGTGGAACGGTGTGGGATGGGGACTGATCACTGGGAGTGCAGGCACTGACAGCTCAGCTGTGATTTGCGGCTAATCCGCACACACAGTTATTGAGATCCCTGCGGTCTATTGTATATACATGTTTGTGGGGATCTATTGTATATATAGTACATGTGTGCTGGAATCTATTGTATGTATATATATATATATATATAGTGCGTGTGTGTGTGTGTGCGCGGGATTCTATTATATATACCTGTGTGCAGGGATTTACTATATACACATGTATGCAGGGATTTATTATATATAGGGATGCATCGATACCGATTAGATGGGGGGGGGTTGCCCTAGTTTACACTTGCCTAGGGCACCACAAAACCATATTACACCACTGCTTGTGTGGGCAGGTATAGATTAGTCTTAACGTCAGATAATGTGATCAATATCTGGCTTGTGTACAGGTACAGAAAGATATGAAGACACCTCTGCTGATAGATGATTATTACTGTTTGCGGGTCCTATAGTCCAAATAATTATATTACTAGGGGTGGGCTCGATGTACGGTGGTTCGTGTGTTCGGCGAACACACAAACTATCAGGGCGTTTTTTTCGGGTGAATCGCACAGTGCCTTGTGAGAGCCCTGATTGGGTAAAGCAATGCACCTGACCACAGGTCTTTGCCCAAACACGGCGCAGTGCGCTGTCCTGCCAGGTGATGGACAAATGTAAACAGTTGGGCGGAGCTAGCGCATTTTTGAGGGGGGTCCCTTCTAACATTCCTACCAGACCTTAAGAGCCTGGTATGACTTTTGGGGGGAACCCCACACTTTTATTTTTCTTTAAATGGGGTCCCTCCTCACATTCATACCAGACCTAAAGGGTCTGGTATTGTTTGCGAAGGTGAACCGCACGCTTTTTTTTTCTTTATAAATGTCACTGTTTGCTGCAGCAGGTTCTATACATCACACAGATGCGCCACTTTACAGGCAGTTTAAGGGGACCCCCCAGGCACGATATTTAAAGGAATGTGTAATTTTAATTGTTTCATTTTAAGCAATGTTAAAATTACTGCTCCATTAAAAACTCTATTTTTTAAATGTGTTTTTTGCATTGATACATTTCCCCCAGGGCAGTACCCGGATCCCCATGCACTTTTTATGGCCAATAACTTGCATATAAGCCTTCAAAATGGGGACATTTGATTTTCAGAGTTCTGGTCCCATAGACTTTCAATGAGTTCGAAGTTCGAGTTCGAAACTTTTCCATGTTCTAAAGTTCGAACTGGAACCAAACTCAGGTGTGTTCGGCCCATCACTATATATTACATACAACCTGAAACGTATTTGTTGTCCTTTATCAAGAGATCTAAAACAATTTACAGGAGGGCAAAAACAATTTGAATTTGGGTTGGATGCCTCAAAATACATACACAAATTGTATTTTTAGAGTGCATGAAACAAATGTTTAGTAATAAATAGGAGTATTGAAAAGATAAGTTTAAACAATATCAATAATAACTGATACAAATTTCAAAAACAGAATGAATATAAGTCATTCAGCTTCAGGATCTGGCAGATTGGCATTTTATCAAGATCAATAGGAGTGGTAGTAAAGAAGAGACATACCAAAACAAAGCATACCATATGTATACCATATGTCTGAAAGTATTTTAGATTAAAGTTGTTGTTGACCAGCTTAAATACAAAAATTCAGGGTAGGTGGTGTAAGTGTCCTCAACTTAAGAACTGGGGTTTTGCTGGCCAAGAATAATGTTTCCTGAATTATATTTATTGGCAGCTAATATAAAACCATAAGTGAAAGTAAATGAAAAAACTGCATTCAAGCACCCCGAATATTTAAAAAGTATCTTATTTGTGTATCACTCAGCTGTAGATCCTCAAATCATCTCTGAAGTCATGCTGACACTGTCCTTCCTTCTGGAGGGTGGCTACATTTGTTCACCATGGTCCCGGTGTGTTGTAAAGTAGCAACCGCTTCCAGCTCGCTCCTGTAATCCACTACAATCTCAATACAAATGAGTAAA